GTGTGTGTGTGTGTGTGTGTGTGTGTGTGTGTGTGTGTGTGTGTGTGTTGGATATAGGGCCTCATGCATATCATATAAGTTCTATTCCACTGAGCTAAATCCTCAACCTTGTTTGAGTCTCACTCTAGCCCAGGCTGGCCTTGAATTTGTGATTCCCCTTCCCCGGCCTCCCAGGTAACTAGGATTAGAAGACAACGGTAGATCCATCTCATCTGTCATTGTGAAGAAACCGAATAGGCACAATTCATAGCAATCATCTAATGTATTATTTGTATTCCACTTGTATTATGTTTTTTAAGGAACAGTTAACATCCATAATTTCCTGAGTACTTAACTGTGACCAAGTGTAAATATATATATATATATATTTGTGTGTGTATACTCAAATACATATACATATACATATACATATACATATACATATACATATACATATACATATTCACAAGAAAACCTGAACAGGAGAGAGAAAAACAAAAGAAAGCAAGCTTGCTTATCCTGGAGGCTATGTGCTAACCAAAGGAACACTGTCCCTCGGGTAATGAAGAAAACATCTGGGAAGAAATGATTAAGTTTGAAAGAAATGTAATGATTACATTACAGAACATAATTTATGTTCTGTGATGTAGTGTGTTTCACTGAGTGGTTTGTGAACACAAGGCGGATCAGGTTAAATTCAAGTCTGCAGTTTCTGTCTGATTTGGGACAAAATACTTGACTTCTTTAAATGTCAGTAAAGCTGATTTATAAAAGTAGTAAAGATATCTACTGAAATGATGGTGATTGCTCAAAGTGGCACACAGGTCAAGTGATCAGCAGAGCAAATGCTAATTTTAGTGCTATCTTTGAAAATGTGTTCATAGTAGCTTGCCCCCAGATTCTTCAAGGTTCTTGTTTTAGATCTTATCACTACAAAAAAAAAAAAAAAAAAAAAAAAAAAACCCTGAAGTTCAGGACTGGAGGCCACAGTTCTATGCTGCATTTTATGTGCTACACTGTGCCCAAAGTGTAAAACTATGTCCAATCTCATAAAACCTGTTCTCAGGCAACTCTTTATTTTATTTTGTTATTTTATTGTGTTTAAATAGAAAGGAACAGCAAATGCTCACAGCCAAAGTGCAGCCAATACCAATTGACTTCTGAGAGTAGTAGCTTTACTAATGACATTGCTCGTTTCATTTTTTTCTCTGTGGTTTTGTAAGTGTCAGGAAAAGAATGGAGCAGGTTAACGTGCTATGAATAAGACCTTGTTTGGAAGTGACCCAGGGGACTCACTGAGGAGGCACCTTTTTGTTTCTAAGCTAGGCTTACCTTGTACTTCCTCAAGTTTGTGGTGGCCCGGTTTTAGCATATTCTCAAGGTGTGTTAAGAGACTTGTTGTCAAATTAGATTTCCCAGAAATAGAAAAAGGCACCACGGTTTGACCATATTCACCCAAATTCATTTGCCTTGTTTTCTCATCACCATATCCAAGGTCATGAGACTTGAGGAGTAAGAGAGCAGAAATGGCAAGCCCCAGTATCTGCACCAAAAGCACTTTCCAGTTTCGCCAATTGAACATCAACCTCTTCATGAACATGGCATAGAACTGCTGAAGGTAGAGGAAGCACTAAACAAAGAAGAGAGAAATGAAGTATCACCCAAACCTCTAGACCTTGCTATGTCATTCACACTGAAATTCACTGACTTCAGTGTTTCTGAAATTTTGTCATGTAAAAGCTTCTTGGCATAGACACACACAATTTAAGCACGTACAGCTTATGTCAGTAAATAAATTCTTGGATGAGACCCCATACTCATGATATGGCACTCGATAATGTTATCAGTTATTATAAGACAAGAGACAATAAACCATGGCCTTTTCCTAAACAACGTTTTGCTAGAATGCAGCTAAGCACATTTGTTCCTGTAACCCTGTGGCTGCTGCTTGTACTAGGATAGTTGCTTGACAGTGATAGAGGCCATGTGGTCCATAGAGCCCTCAACCTTTGATATCTCTTTACATTGAGTTCCTGACTTCTGGCATAGCCTGTGATGTAAAGTGCTTAAATTGAGTGTTGTATATAATACTAAGAATGGCAAATAGTTTTTCCCGATTCCTGGTGACAACTATGTCCTGGCTGCTTTATAGCTAGCTGCAATAGACAATTACACGAGCAAGGAGAAAAATGTCTGGCAGCACAAGTAGGCTTTCCCTGATGAGGACCTCACTGAGTCTTATATGAAAGACCTCTTGAAAGACCTAGGATACACTCCAAGTTGATAGTTCGAGACAAAACAAAACAAAACAAAACAAAACAAAACAGTCTCTCTTATGCCAACTTGAAGAAGCAGATAAGTTTCTGGGTTTAATTTGGAAAGAAAACAAAAGAATGGCAGAATAATGGTGGTGACAGCAAACAGCTGATGTTTTTTTCTAGAATCTACCCCTTTGCACTTAAACATCGATTAGGCTGAGGTCCCAACTTTCCTGCACCAGGTTGGTTCTTTAGCGGCTGAGAACTCTATACTCTTCTGTTCCTGTATCACTACAAAACAAAACTCTTGCATCCTGACCAAATGACACCTGCTTCTTAGTAAAGGTTCTTACCCCAGTGTTGAACACGATGGTGGGGTCTTCACTCTGGGTGGGAAAGCCTTCTATCCTGCTGCTCGGGACATCATTCTCGTTCTCTTTACTTCCCACTGAGGGAGACTGAGTATCTGGTTTTGAATCATCCATGTGACTGACCCTATATTTAAAAAACAAACAAAGCTTGTCATTTCACCTTATCCAACAATCCCTTGCTCGAAGAATGCGAGTTGCAATGAGAGTTGAGCAAAGACCTGTGGTCCCTTAGGTTATTCGTTACTTATTGGCAGCACAGTAATACTGATTTAGCTCCCAAGCACAAGACCACCTCCAGACCTGGTCACGCCTACATTTCTAAAGTGTGAAATATCAAAGTTTGATGCAACCACAAAGAGCCTTTCCCTCCGAGGATTCTGTCCCGCCCCCCCATCTACTCTTACTTACCTAAAGAAGACTTCTTCCATGGTGGTGATACAGACACCAAAGCTAGAAATGCCAAGGCTTTCTTGCTTCTCTTCTAGAGCAGTGAAGAGAGCTTCAAACCTACAAGTAGAAGAAGACAGGCTGGGACTAAAGGAGATGGTTTTCATACTTCTTTTTATTCAAAAGTGATCTTCCCTCACCAGCATTTCAATGTTTGTTATGATTTCACACTTCTGTTAATTCAGAAATGTGAGACATACCAAAAAGCCAGGCAACAAACTGCTATAGTGCAGTTTCCCATAGACTTTATTCTTGGATATGTATGATTTTGATTTTCTAAGTAAACTATGAAGAGCCTCTAGAAGGGTATTGACTGTTGATGGCTGATGGGCAAAGGAGGGTCACTTTTATTTGGAGATGGCCACTGTAAGGTTGCCATGCCCTAGTAGTTGGCTTTACATCCATGAACCTTAAGTAACCCACTAGACTCAGTAACCCACTAGACTCAGTGGGTTACTTAAAAAAAAAAGATATGAAGTGGGGAGGGAAATGTGTAGGAGGTGCTGGGATGCTCTGGATGGTCAGGGTGGAGGTGTATATGACAGAGACACACTGTATACTTGTATGAAATTTTCAAAGACTGAAAGTCTAACTTTAAAAGATACTCCATGTTAATAGTTTCAGCTAGTTGACAGAAATTAGCTTATCTTACTTATATATGCCATGATTCCTATTGTTTAGCATATTAAAAAAAGAAAGGGGAACTCACATTCAACCAAGGAAAAGGCACAGAGACAGGAAAGTGGGTAAGTGCAGAAAAAAATTAGGATGATAAACTGTTTTTATTTAAATAACCATGAAAATCTATGAACATTAAATTGTATAATATTATAATAGTAGAGTCAACTGAAATGTAGAAAAAATGTCTTCTAAAATTTTTTTTTTTAATCTAAGAAGATCTTATAGAACTTTCTATTCAAAAGTTAACTTTCACAGAAACTTCCAGATCCCCAAGGGGGACAACAGAACTCATCTCTACATGTGTTCACTGTTGGGAGAACTCAATCCTCTCTATGGAAAAAACAAATAATTTTCTTTATATTTGATCTGTATTTCCACTGCTTTTATCCACAGTTCTGGATATATACCATGAGCTTACAGACAGAGCAGAAACAACCCATCACTCATTCTTGATGTCCAAGAAGTGTAAGGAGATAGTTCAGTGTGGTTTTGACTTGTATTTCCCAGCATTGTTACTGCATATTTTATCTGCATACTTTCTGGCTTTTTGCATGCCTTCTTTGGGGACATGTGTGACTGTTTTGAATATTTTCCTTATTTTAAAATGTGTTTTATCTTTCGCAATCAAGATGTTTGGAAAACTGGAGGTAACATGCGGAAGATGACATTACATCCCAGATCTCTTACCACCTAACTGTGAAACTACCAAAAGAGGCTAGAGAAAATTATTCATGGCATTGGCCTAGGCAAGGTCTTTTTGGTTTGGTTTGGTTTTAAAGAAAAACCTTAAAAAGATGGGCAACAAAAGTTAAAACAAGCAATGAGATTGAATCAAACTAAACTCTCGAGTACAAGAAGGGAAACAACAGAGTAACGTGAAAAGATAACCTAGGAAATTTAGGAAAACATCAGATGATGTCTTAAACACACCAGGCTCTCCTGGAATCAGTCCCTTTATTGTTGTGACATTGCCTAACTCTTACCAGAATACACTGTGCATGTCTTCCTTGTAGTCTGCGAGAGTTTTACACAATTCCTCTAACTGTAGCCTGCTGTCATTATGGTCCATCTCTATTTCCCAGGCCTCCTTGAAGATGTGTTTGAAAGTTCAACATAATTCTAACAAGTTTCCGCATTGCTTTGAAAAAAACAAATGCTACAACCCAGTTTTTTTTTAATTTTTTATTAATTACACTTTATTCATTTTGTATCCCCCCGTAAGCCCCTCCCTCCTCCCCTGCTGATCCCACCCTCCCTCCCCTTTCTGCAGGCATGCCACTCCCCAAGTCCACTGATAGGGGAGGTTCTCCTCTCCTTTCTGATCTTAGTCTATCAGTTCTCATCAAAAGTGGCTGCATTGTCCTCTACTGTGGCCTGGTAAGGCTGCTCCCCCCTCAGGGGGAAGTGATCAACAAGCAGGCCAATCAGATTATGTCAGAGGCAGTCCCTCTTCGCATTACTATGTAAACCACTTGGACACTGAACTGCCATGGGCTACACCTGTGCAGGGGTTCCAGGTCATCTCCACGAATAGTCCTTGGTTGGAGTATGATTTTCTGGGAAGTTCCCTGTGTTCAAATTATCTTGTTCTGTTGCTCTCCTTGTGGAGTTCCCGTCCCCTCCAGCTCTTACTATTTCCCACTTCTTACATAAAATTCCATAAACTCTGCCCATCAGTTGGCCATCAGGCTCAGCATCTGCTTTGACAGTCTATACTGCAGAGGCTTTCAGAGGCCCTCTGTGGCAGGTTTCAAGGTTGTTTCCTGTTTTCTTCTGGCTTTCAGAGGCCCTCTGTAGCAGGTTCCGAGGTTGTTTCCTATTTTCTTTTTCTTCTGATGTGCATCCTCTTTGCCTTTCATGATGGGGATTGAACATTTTAGTTAGGGTCCTCTCTTTTGCTTAGTTTGTTTAGATGTACACAGATTTTAGTGGGTTTATTCTATATTATATGTTTATATGAGTGAGTATATACCATGCTTGTCTTTTTGCTTCTGGGACAACTCACTCAGGATGATCCTTTCCAGGTCCCACCATTTACCTGCAGATTTCATGATTTCCTTATTTTTCATTGCTGAGTAATACTCCATTGTATAGATGTACCACAGTTTCTGCATCCATTCTTCAGTTGAGGGGCATCTGGGTTGTTTCCAGCTTCTGGCTATTATAAATAAAGCTGCTACAAACATGGTTGAGCAAATGTCCTTTTTCTGTACTTGAGCCTCTTTTGGGTATATGCCTAGGAGTGGTATGGCTGGATCTTGAGGAAGCGCTATTCCTAGTTGTCTGAGAAAGCGCCAGATTGATTTCCAGAGTGGTTGTACCAGTTTACATTCCCACCAGCAGTGGAGAAGGGTTCCCCTTTCTCCACAACCTCTCCAGCATGTGTTGTCCCTTCAGTTTTTCATCTCGGCCATTCTGATGGGTGTAAGGTGAAATCTCAGGGTTGTTTTGATTTGCATTTCCCTACTGGCTAATGAGGTTGAGCATTTCTTTAAGTGCTTCTCTGACATTCGATATTCCTCTACAGAGAATTCTCTCTTTAGCTCTGTTCTCCATTTTTTAAGTGGATTACTTGGTTTGTTGCTTTTCAGGTTATTTAGTTCTTTATATATATTGGATATGAGTCCTCTGTCAGATAAAGGGTTGGTGATGATTCTTTCCCAATCTGTAGGCAGTCGCTTTGTTTTGATGACGGTGTCCTTTGCTTTACAGAAGCTTTTCAATTTCATGAGGTCCCATTTATTGATTGTTGCTCTTAGAGCCTGTACTGTTGGTGTTCTGTTCAGGAAGTTTTCTCCTGTACCAATGAGTTCTAGGGTATTCCCCACTTTTTTTTCTAGCCGATTTAATGTGTCTGGTTTTATGTTGAGGTCTTTGATCCACTTAGACTTCAGTTTTGTGCAGGGTGATAAGTATGGATCTATTTTCATTTTTCTACATGTAGACATCCAGTTGGACCAGCACCATTTGTTGAAGATGCTATCTTTTTTCCATTGTATGGTTTTGGCATCTTTGTCAAAAATCAGGTGTCCGTAAGTGTGTGGGTTTATTTCTGGGTCTTCTGTTCGATTCCATTGATCCACCATTCTGTTTCTATGCCAGTACCATGCAGTTTTTGTAACTGTTGCTCTATAGTACAGCTTGAGATCAGGGATGGAGATACCTCCAGAAGATCTTTTATTATAGAGGATTGTTTTAGCAATTCTCGGTTGCTTGTTATTCCATACGAATTTGAGAATTTTTCTTTCCAGGTCTGTAAAGAATTGTGTTGGCAATTTGATGGGAATTGCATTAAATCTGTAGATTGCTTTTGGTAAGATGGCCATTTTTACTATGTTAATCCTGCCAAGCCATGAGCATGGGAGATCTTTCCATCTTCTCATATCTTCTTCTAATTCTTTCTTCAGAGACTTGAAATTTTTTTCATACAAGTCTTTGACTTGCTTCGTTAGGGTTACACCAAGGTACTTTATGTCATTTGTGGCTATTGTGAAGGGTGTTGTTTCTCTAATTTCTTTCTCAGCCCTTTTGTCTTTTGTATACAGGAGTGCTACTGATTTTTTTTAGTTAATTTTGTATCCGGCCACTTTGCTGAAGGTGTTTATCAGCTGTAGGAGTTCCCTGGTAGAGTTTTTGGGGTCACTCATATATACTATCATGTCATCTGCAAATAGTGATAATTTGACTTCTTCCTTTCCCATCTGTATCCCCTTGATCTCCTTCGACTGTCTTATTGCTCTAGCAAGGACTTCCAGCACTATGTTGAAGAGATATGGAGAGAGTGGGCAGCCTTGTCTTGTCCCTGATTTCAGTGGGATTGCTTTAAGTTTCTCTCCGTTCAGTTTGATGTTGGCTATAGGCTTGCTGTATATCGCCTTTACTATGTTTAGATATGTGCCTTGTATCCCTGATCTCTCCAGTACTTTAAACATGAATGGATGTTGGATTTTGTCAAATGCTTTTTCAGCATCTAGGGAGATTATCATGTGGTTTTTTTTTCTTTCAGTTTATTAACATGGTGGATCACATTGATGGATTTCCGTATATTGAACCACCCCTGCATACCTGGGATGAAGCCTACTTGGTCATAGTGGATAATATCTTTGATGTGTTCTTGGATTCAGTTTGCAAGTATTTTGTTAAGTATTTTTGCATCAGTGTTCATAAGGGAGATTGGCCTGAAATTCTCTTTCTTTGTTGAGTCTTTGTGAGGTTTAGGTACCAAGGTGATTGTGGCTTCATAGAATGAGTTTGGTAATGTTCCTTCTGTTTCTATTTTGTGGAATAGTTTGAAGAGAATTGGAGTTAGCTCTTCTTTGAAGGTCTGGTAGAATTCTGTGCTGAAGCCATCTGGTCCTGGGCTTTTTTTGGATGGGAGA